GGGCGAGCGACTCGCGGTACTTGGTGGGGTGGGCTGTCTTGCGCGCCTGTGAGTTGGGTCGTTAGCTTGATATTCGCGATAACTCCAACATACACATTTGTGTGTCTTTTCGACAGTCCAAAATTCATCGCGAATGATGCGCATACCTTCTTCATCTGCGCCTCCTCCTCGGCAGCGTAGTACTTGGATGCTTTCTGGTCGGCCATTGTGTTGATTTGAGGCAGAGAAAGTCTCGTAGTCAATTAGTATGTGTCGCACGCAAATTTGCTACATCAAATGGAATAGCCCGGTATCTACTTACATTTTCTTGTGGTGATGATGATGTCGCCGTCGCGATTTCAGGGTCGAGATGTGCGAGCGCTCGCTAAGATCAGCCCTACGGCGCTAGTGGTCCCCGCAAACCATCGTTCACATGTGAACACTGGCACAATTGTTTCCGTGATGCGGACGCATGCCGTAATGGTAACACACTGTAGCAAGTGTGATCGCAAGATTGAAACAAAGATACCAGTGGAGTCGCATAGATCATGAGCGTGTATTGTACATTAATCCGAGACCATCCGCGTGTGTAGGTCATTACATCGTGGGTATCAGCAGCCCATTATTTCTTGTCTGTCAGACTTTGCCTCTGCCTCATTTCACCCATCTTTCCAACAGCCTTGTCCATGCCACTCCACTTCCGCACAAGATGATTCACGCCGACAGGCAGTGCACCAAGGATCTGGATATACTTTGAGTACAGAGGCAGCGCAATCTCACCGCTCTCACCCCGCTCAATCAGCTTGATGATATCCTTTCCAATATCGGCAGGCGTAACCACAGGCGCTAGGAAGTTGCTTGGGGTCTTGAGGCCTGCAAACATGGTTGTGCCCATCTGACCAGGTTGGACGAGGATTGTCTTGATGTCCTTTGCGGCGGGGTTTTGTGCAAGCTCCGCGCGAAGCGAGTGGTGCAGCGCCAGGAGGGCCGCTTTCGAAGCTGTGTATGCGGATAGGTTGGCGGCACCGAGGTGACCGAGGACGGAGGAAACGGTTACGATGGTGCCGCGGCCTTCCTTCAGCATGTGCGGGAGGATTGTACGAAGGGTGGTGAACTGAGACAGGGTGTTGACGCGGAAGGTGCTGGTGAGGTGTCAGTAGATGTCAATAAGGATTCCAGAGTATACATACCGCTCCACATCTTCAGCGGTTGAGTCGAGGATTGATTTGGTCTGCACCATGCCAGCGTTGTTGATCAAGATCGTCGGAGCACCGAGCTATGATCGTTAGCAGAGTACGGTCTCCTAGCAGAGGAATACTCACATCGTCGACAATCTTGGCTACGGCAGCTTCAACCTGCTTTGCATCGCTCACGTCGCACTTGTAGTAAACCACGCCCTTGTTTTCCGCCTCATCTTCATCGACCTCCTTCATGTCTAGGACGGCGATATTGGCATTGCGCATTCCATACGTCTCTGCCAATAGTCCACCCAGGCCGTCGACACCGCCCGTTATAACGATAACTTCTTCCTCTAAATCCACCTCGCGCGGTGATCCCCATGCGATCCGGTCGCTGATGAGCCCGAAGATGCCGGTGACAGTCATGAGCATAGCCCAAGCCATGGCAATGCGCATCTCGATGTTCTCATAAGGCGTGTACTGCGCGCGCAGACACAGGACCACGACCCATGATACGAATGGGTGGAAGACCGTGTATCCGAGGACGTACCATATCAGATCGACGTTGATGTAGTGGTGCCATGGCTCGTCGGGTCGGTCGAAGCTCTTCGGTAGCTGGACGGGTACTTCCCTTATTGAGGAAGACATGGTGGGCATGTCGATACAAGAGGATTGTTGAATCATGGAGGATGGTGGGGCGCGTCGGCGCGTAGTTGAGGCTTGGACGCGAATCGGACGTTGAAAGTAGGTAATACGGCGACAATGCTACCCAGGAGCGAGAAGTGAGATGTGTGAGAATGCGCAATTTGCGCAAACAGTATACGGGGCCATTCTGTTCTTATTGTGCTGTCGCTGATGCTGAGGTTTGCAGTGTTTCATTCGCGCCTCAGGTCTCCATGACGCTAGCCGGAGTGCTTCAAGCTGTGAGTGAGGGGCTGAGTAAGCGACTTCCCTTGTCGTGCGCATCTGTCCACACCAACCCTAAACCCACAATACAACCACCACCATGGAGTTCAAGAGATCACCCATCGTGCATGGCGGCCTATGCGACCGTTTTTGTGGTGATAACGCGATGCCGAAGTCCCCTTGTGCCAGAGCACGCACAGGCGGGGAAGTATCACCGCCGTGCGCCGACGCGCTTCATCTCCTGATCACCAGATACCGGCCCCGGGGCTTCCCTTTAACCGACCGTGGTTATTGATCGTGCTCTCCTTCTCGAGACATGGTGGCAGTTCATACTGGTAAGGAGAAGGCAATTCCCGAATTGGACCTGCTGCGCCAGGAAAGCGATCTTGCGAGATCGTGATCGCCCTTCCAGCTACATGAGCAAGCACCATGGACCTCGAAGAATGGTTCCACACGTTGCTAGCATCTAAGAATCGGCTACGGTAGCTGGAGCATCTTCAAATGACTACGCACCGATATCTCTAGGGGTCTAACAGGAAGCTAGGGTAGCAATGGGCTTGGAAGATCTCACGAAATGCATGAGCTACCTTCCAACGCATCCGGCGCACCTCCCCAAATCTTTCCAAATTATGGCAGCAACGGGCGATGTTACAACTTCCTGTGTTCGTTATGACGACACGTAAACACACGTTCGACTGCTCATAAACTCCACCTCCCATCCCGAGTCTCTTCTTCTTCTCCAACCCCTTCTCCAGTGTTTTCTACTGCTACTGCTGACCGCATCATCTCTCATACCGAACCCTTTCAACACAATGCTCGGACAAGCCTTCTTCGTCCTCGTACTCGCGGCTCTGGCTCAGGCCGGAGCTATCGTCACCAACCATTGCCCATACACGGTCTACATCTGGTCTGTACCCCAGTGGCTCAGCAGCTCACTCACCGAAAACGTCCCTCTCAAGCCTCATGGTCAGTACCGAGAACCATGGCACTTTGGGTCCCCCCTCAATCCTGGTGTTGCCATCAAGATCTCCGACAAGTTCGAAGGTATCAACAGGGGCGCCAACGAGATGGACTTCGCCTACACGATTGACCTGGACACCTTAGACAAGGTCTGGGTCGGCCTGGACCCGATTCGAGGCAACCCCTTCCACAACAAGATCGCCTTGCACAGCTGTCACCAGAGCTTCTACGGCTCCGCAAAGGTTGAGACACATGTTTGCACCCCTAAAGACAACATTGAGCTTGTCCTTTGCGATACGTCACCACGCGTGACTACACTGAAAGATTCCACGTCTCTTGCCGATATCATGTCGTGCTACGACTACCCATATTTTGGCCTTACACACCACGGTGCAGACAGCGTTGAAGTTCACACGGGCAACCTTCCAGATCATGTGGCAGAGGATACCGACTCCGACTCCGGATCTGACACGGACGGTTCCGAATCGCGGGAGCTCCATACCATGAAGTTCACGTATACCATGGGCATGACCGCTGAGTTCTCCGATGAACCGACCCCCGGTTTCGTACCGGCACCATCCACATCGTCAGTGATTCTTCCGCCTAGGCCAGAGAGTACCGAATCAGGACTAGTAGTTCCGCACAGGCCAGAACCATCGGACACCACCTCCACCACGTCGCGCGGGGGCTTTTTCACACCACCTGCGCCTGCACCTCGCGAAACAGACTGCCCAGATTGCAAGAAGCCACGAAAACCAGGAAACAGCCCATGCCTAGCCAGGGTCATTTACCCGGCAAGACGTCGCGTCCCTGCAGCTCGCAACACTCCAGACGACATTGAGCCAACACGCGTACCAACCCCACATCACTCAGTAATCCCAACACTGTGCAACATCGTCCGGAGGTACCACACTGGAGTCGACGATTGTGATGAATCGGCACTAGAGTCGTATGCTCGTGCCATATACCCCACAGTTTGCGATCCCGTGAATGCTTCACTCCTGATGGGCTTCCCATGCGAGGAGGTTATGGAAGAGATGAAGAAAGTCTACCCAGCCATCGATGCTCCGGTGATCTCCCGGGCCCCCACATGCGAGTGCGAACCTGACTGCGACTTCTGCGGACACTTCAACGATACTTGCTACTGCGCAGGAGCTATCGCGGCGCCGATGCAAGCGAGTATACAACCCTTCCCCACGGATCTCCCCACGGATTTCGAATCCTTCGCCTTCACCTCTGACGATCAGAAGATCTGCCTGTATTCATTGTGCGACCCAGAGATCCCCGGAGTCAACTGCCAGGACGTAGCCGACCTACTTCATGCCATCCTAACGCTCAACAACGAGAGTTACGAAGAATGGGTGTCCGAGACCAGGCCTCATACCTGCGATGCTTACTCTGTTTTCAAGATGGATACAGGTCAGCTGGCAATCTGCATTGCTGATCTTTGTGCACATCACCCTGAATCGTGCGACAACATCCAGGCTCTTCTCACTTCAGGTACCAAGGCTAAGTTGGGCTTGGACGTCTTCTTCATCAAGCACCGCGCTGTCTGCGACCAGGTCCTCGATGAGAGTACCTGAAGCTAGGGCATGACCAGCGACATGGTGGACTGGGGAGCTTGATCGTTATTATCGCTGTTATCGTTGGTTGTCTTTTTGCTTTCACCTCATGCCCTTAGCGTTCGCATAGCTTACCGTTTGTACTTTTGTTTGCCTTTCAACGCCGATTATTCTTCTCAATGCGATCACTTGGCTTTCAACATGCTCACGTCCACTGTCAAATCATGAGGTTGTATCACGTCCACGTTGCCAAAGACTCCACAAGTTTCATGTCAAGACATGTATTTTCTAAGGAAAAGCCTCGTGCGAGCCCAAAGTCGGCCTCTGACATCAGTGAGAGAGCGACGATGAGCTAGTCTAGATACTACACTGACTACCAGACCCCATCTGCATACCCCGTACCTCTTGGCTCGACCTAAGCCTCCTTTTCCTCGCCCTCTTCATCCTCGCCATCGCTACCGTCATCCGCCAAGAGCTCTGCCAGCATCTCCCCCAACAACGCCATCAACTCCGCCTCCGAGACCCCGTTCTTCTCGTCGATCAGCTTCTGGAAGTCCTTGCACAGTCGATCGTGTCGCAGAGTCTCAGTGTCGATGTCGAAATGGCCCTTCCTGATCTGCTGACTGAAGCCTACGATGCGCTCCATGTCTCTAGTCGATGCGAGCTTGGCGCCGGAGCGTTGCTTCTCGAGGGCCTTGAGTTGATCTTCTAGTTTCTTGACGGCCGCTTTCTTTCTCTCGATGCGCCTCTGTACCGTCGTGCTCCACCTCTGGAAATCGGCGAGGCGTGCGGCCATGGCGGCATCGCTGGCGGGAGTGGCGTTGTTGTTGTTGTTGTTCTCGGACATGATTGATATTGCGATGTTGGAAGTTGTTATTGTAGTAAGGTATTCGTGTATGATGTTATCGGATTAAGCTCACTCACACAGGAACCACGCAGTTTATATCCCGAATCTCTCCGGTTTGTCTATTGTCTACGTTTGCAACTACAAGAAAGAACACGACCAACTCCAACAACGCCCACCAAGACATGTTTGCAACGACAAGAAACCACAAGAACACCTCTGAATGAAAGACAATAACGAAACAATAGCCTAGCAGCAAGAGAGCGTTTGTAAGAACAAAAAACCACGCAAACGCCGTCTATCCCAAACTCCGAAACCAAGGAAAAGTCCAGAGACTACCGGAACCAACGTCGATGCAATGCCACACCGATCTAAAGACGTCGCGTACCATTAGAAGCCTGTCGCAGAAGCAGGAGCATACACAGGATTACCAAGAGACGTACCAAGCAAGCCGGAGCCAAAACCATAACAAGAACAGCAAGGACATCCATTCCGTGAACAGGCTCTGGACGAGGAGGAACAGGCAACGGCTCCTCATCGATACCCCCAGGGCAAGTCGGTCCAGGAACAGGAGGTTCAGGCTCCGGCATCGCAGGCGCAGCTTCCGCCTCTTCCCCAGCACGCTGAGTAGTCTCCTCACGATTGTATCCCTCCAAACCCGCCCACTCCTTCAAGATTCCCCGCATAGCTTTCTCGTCGCGTCGCTCACGCGTCCAATGCACCAGCGCGATGACGTTGGGGAATTCGACCTGGGCAGGCCAGTTGGCGGCTAGTGGTTGGAGGATGTCGTGGACGGTGGCGCGGTCTTCCGGAGTTAGGGTGAAGAACCAGGCGTCGAATTCACGGGGGGACAGTGTGCGGTCTTTTTGGGCGGCCTGGAAGAAGGAGTGCAGTTTTGCGATGAGCTCTCCGCGGGGGACGGAGGGTGTGGGGAGGAGGGGGGTGCGTGATGGGTCGGCCATTTTTGATGGGGTGATTGGGCTGTTGGATAGTTGGTGTGTTGTATTGGGTGATGGTAATGAAGATGTGATACTGTGTTGATATCCACTCCATCACGAACTTCTTCATCCTCTTATATCCCCCATCCCCTGGCCCAAACTTCCTCACATACCCTCCTCCGTCACGTTCCAGCGTCACTCACTCCAGCCCACACAAGCTCATCATCTGACCAAACCACAAAGTCTCAACAAAGTCTCATTAACTGATCTAGATACCTTCTTTCACCCACTTCCGCAAAGCGCACCAAGCGCCGAATACTGAGCAATGTCTCAAGCCCATGTCTTCTATTGCTTTGATCCGAAAATGCCGACCTTCATCTTCATAGGTGTCTTGGGTGTCAAGGGCCCCCGCTCTGTCTCAGCGCCATGTTCCACATACATGCTCTTCTCGTCCGGTGGGTAGGCGCTCTCTGCGTCTCTGTTGCACTGTCCAGCGCCCACTTCGATCTTGACATGGCCGTCTTGGTCGCCCCGTAAGTTGACGATGAGGGACCCGTTGCCGCCGTCGGGGTCGCTCAACAGCCAAATGTGCTTCATCCTCCTTCCTTCTCTTCGCTCCATGATGTCGTCGGCTGCAGCTGCAATGTCACCTCCACCTCTCGATGCAGCGACGATGAGATCACGTGGATCGAGATAGTTGAAGCGGCCAAGCGCAGACCACGCTGCTGTGCGCACTGCCTCAAACACAACGGCGAGGATGATAACGAGGTTGAGCGTGAAGATAGCGTAGATGTAACTCGGTTGCCCAAACTGCAGCGCATAGACGTAGACCTTCGCTGGTTGCTGAGTGAACATGCGCCCAACCATGAGCTGCGCGGAGGCATACGCAACCAACATATCATCAGCCATCGCCACCATGCTATTCGTGAGACCCGCCAGTGTCGCTTCCTCTTCAGTAAACGTCCGATTATTGAACGTCTCTGACATCTTGTATGCCGCGATACTGGAGTTAAATGCCTCGCCTAGGAGCGAAACATATAGATTCGTCATGTCGTTAGACATGAGCTCGAACTGCCGCACTACTGTGCGCGTGACGTTTCGCTGAGGGTTGAAATCGGGCATGGTGCGCACGGGCTTGACGGTGATGTTGAGATTGCCGACGTCGACGGTGACGTTGAAGAGGGTGGGTGTGAAGTCGAATTCGCATTGCGTGGTGTTGAGGAAGGAATAGGCTGAACCTGCAGCGATGGCGAGGTAGCGGCGAGGGGAGCGATCGCTGTACGCTACGCCCATCGCTACAATGGCCTTGCCGTCGTGGCCGATGTAGTTTGAGTATTCCGGGCCTTCTTCGCTGTCGGGCAGGTTCCCGGAAGCTGCATAGATCCACTCGTTGACGGGACCGGAAAGAGTGAAGTTGGAAGTTGCGTTGTACGTGCAAGTGACGTTTGCCAGATAGCCCTCCTCTTGGTAGATGTATCCTGCAACCTGGCTGTTCGACCTGATTCCTTGATCCATGAGTCCGATAGATGCTCCGACGCCATATGAACGACCTCGGTAGCTGAACTGAGTGTTGTCGAGTTTGCGATGGACATGGGGCCCTCCACCCAAAGAAGACGCCTGAGCCGCTGATGCCAGAAGCTGACTACTCTGTTGCTGGCCAACCGAATACGTGAAGAAGCCCTTTTGCGTGCGCAGCGACGGTCCCGAACTGCCAATCATCATCGGATACTCCTTGATCATCGAAACGTCCTCGTAGCTTGGGATCAAAAGCATGCCGCTGTCCACCGTCCGCGATACCGATGGTGTCATTGAACCAGCCCAGAGCGCCGCAGGCACAAGACTGAGGAGAACGACAAAGACAGAGGGAAAGAAGAACCGTAGAGGCAAGTCCCAATCCACGCGCATGATGCTCATGTCCACCCAAGTGCGCAACACATCCAGGGAAACGCTGACCTTGTTGAGACGCAATCGAAGCGCATAGTTGATGAGCTTGCAAATAACCGCGAGATGCAAAAGTCCAAAGAAAGCGGCGAGAAGCTGTACGACCAACGCAGCGGAACCCGGGAACCTATTCGCAAGAGTAAAGAGTTGACCGGTAACCCTGCATTCATTAAGCTGCGCCAGCAAAAGGACTGTCGAAAGGGTCGTCGTAAACGAAAGTCCGTAGAAAGTATTATACCGTCCCCAATGGCTATACCGCACCGTCCTGCCATCATCTCCCGTATCCCTCCGATCTCCCGGTAAGAATGTGAATTGCCGAACCATTACAAAAGATTAAGAAAAAAAACGAGCGAAAAAGGGACCGGCCAGCGGTTACGAAAAGAACGAAAAACCTTCAAGGTCGATGGAAGAACGAGCGACGAAGATGCAAAAAGCGAAAGGAATCCTCATGTTGGCCATCTTAGACGGTGGTTGAGTGTTTGGCATTGGCATGCCAGGCTACCCGTGTTACCAGGCAAGTGTTGACAGTTGTTGTATCAGGTGCGGCGAGATTTCATGCCTGAGACGAAGGATCCACTGTGATCGTGGCTGCATGCGGTAAGTCTTCACATAATTCTGATCATGTGCATGATCTTATACAAGGACGAGATATCGATATTGTGCAGATATCCAGCTGGAGGACGACGGGTTCTCCTTGTTGCGTTCTTGTGTTGCTCTTGTCGGGTTGGCAGGTAATGCGTGTTACTCGATGGAGGAGCGGAGCATGAATGTAGGGCTTAAAGCATTGTGCAGTTTCGTATGCACTGAACGGTATAGGACTTCTGCTAACTCAGCATCGGACGTTGGTTGCCGAAGGTACCTGGGTATCTCAGTTAGAGAGTCCCAGGTACCTAGCTCTGGGAGCCGCAAGGTGTTGCGCCATTGAAACCCGGTGAACGGTTCATCTGACGCATCGCAAGAAAATTGGAGCACGTCGCTGACTGACCAATAAGCTGGAACGCGTGAGCTCGAGTATAACGAGAAAGATGAAGAGTATCGTGCATAACACATAACGCGACCGCGTCGCACACTGAGACCCACCCGATCACAACCGTCGATGACATCACCACCTACAATCTCTAGTTTCCATCTCTAGCTCCCAACGCGCAATTGCATGCACATCAAAACGCGTCAACGCCATCCACCCAGTTCACCAACTCACCAATCCCAATCTCCAACAAATACCGAACTTCCCAACTCCCCTCCTTCCTCCTCGGTTGGACGAACCGACCAACCACACCCAAACACCCTACCGCCAAGCCACCCACCTGAAACCCCCCACCATACCCAAACCAGGCCTAGCGCATCTCTCCTGCCACTCAGAACCCGTTTGATCTACGCGGGCCCCCTAAGCTCCTTGACTCCTGCATATCGTATATTGCCATCTTTGCCGTGCCATCCATCGCTATCTGGCATTTTGTGGATTCTACACCAAGGGATGGCTTAGGGAAAGCTTAGATAGGAGAGATGAGATGCCGAGGTAAAAGATTTCTGCAGTCCTGGTTACGGGTTACGGGTTAGATGTGGGACGTGGCATGGCGGATTCCCAGGTTTCGCTGATGATGATGCCGGTGGGGTTTATTGGACTCGGATCCGAACATGACGAGGGTGCATGGAGGTTGTGAGGCAGCCTTCGTGCTTGACCGGCGCGACTCAGCCGTCTTCAAACTCATTGTTCAGCTGGAGATAGATTGGCTGCGGAGGCTCTGTAGCAGGTATACAGGTGAAGTGTGCATTTGAAGTGTCATGTGTGGTCGGCAAGGTGGTCAGCCTAATGTGGCTGCGCATGCGGCCCGCAGAAAGTGTCGTACAAGGCAGAACGACTGGATATCATCGCGAGTTGGCGAGTATGCATTTTACTGAGGTCTCGGATGGCGTTGTGGCTGTACTGTCGAGTTGTGTAGGTGTAATGACCGGTGTATTTCATGCTGTGTATGTATGTGGATACAAGATTTTATGCCTAGCTGAGTATTGTGTTGCTTGCTCATCTTCCGCATCGCGCGAATTACCGCACAGCGATTAGATCGGCCTGTTTGGGTGCGGCATGAGAATCATCATGCGATGCGAGAAATATTGGACAAAGTCGCGTATTGATGAATCGCGTCAAGAAAGAGCGTGCGCCACCAAACCATGGACCTATCTGTAAGTGAAATCCGTCCGCACTAGCTAGATAAGATACCCGTCCCACACACTAGCGCGCATGTCAGACCCCAATTTACGGAAATTGCGAACCGCGAAGGGATACACGGGAGGGAGAGTCATTCAATCACACTGACAGAGGAGAACGCCCGTTGCCAAGAATATACTTTCCGAGACGGACACGGAAACAACACGAGACGGAAAAATTGTGTTTTGAACAAAATGTTTTATTTTTCCTTTTTCCCATTACTCGCCGAGTATCTGACAAGTCAGAACCCGCCGCGGTATATAGTTATTTGTGGGCTGTGAGAAAGCTACAAAAGAGCTAAACTACTATGAGGCGGTCGCGCCGAGAATCGCAATATAGATGCGATTCAAGATTCCGATCTGGTTGATATCCCAACGCCGGTACAATGCTGTGCTATGCAAATGCTGAGATTGTGTTATAACGCCGGCCAATGCAAGAAGAGATGACGAGATGGGCGAAGAGATGTCCATCCAGTGAGCATCTTTTCATCAGATCATGTCATTGGGGAACAATAAGGAAAGTCGTTAGGCTGTTGAAGCGAGAGTGGTGGGGTAGCGAATAGCATTAATAAGTAGTCTGGCGGCCGGCGTAGGCGCCGGTCTGGCCGAACATCCTGCTGAAGATGCCGCCCGCTGAGGTCTTGACCTTCTTCGAGGGCTGGGTGTCGTACAGCGGGAGTGCATGTTGCTGCTTGGGGAAGTACGAGTGAGGGCCATTGATATATACAACGTTGGCGCCCTGGTCTGCGTCGTAGCGCTGGAGGATCGCTTCTGAAGGCTCGTCGTGAAGGCTGACGGGTGATTCGGAAGAGGTGGAGACCGAGGAGCTTCGGGTGGGTGGTGATAGAGATGGGGTGCGCGATGGTGCGCGGGAGGATGGGATGTAGCGTGGTCCCCTCTGGGATCGAGGAGCATATGAAGACAGGGAGGATTGCGACGCATATGGGTGGACTGAGCGCGAGAGGTTCTCGGCGGTGAGCTGGTATTGTTGGCGGGCAAGCTCCTTCTCCTTCTCTGCGAGCCTGGCCTTCTCGGCCTGGCGAGATTGCCAGACACGGATGGGCGCTAGGAAGGGCTCGAGGTGGTAGTGGAGGTCCTCGGTGCTGATGCGGAGATCCCAGTCAAGGAGGAACAGAAGTTGCTTCTCCATGAGGTTGACTTCGGTGAGGGAGAAGCCAAAGTTCTCGTAGCCGCGAACAGCGCTGTACCTGGCCCAGTGCTTGTTCTTAGGCGAGGAGTCGTTGAGGTTCTTAGCCGCAAGGATAAGGGAGGCGAGGAAGATGCGGTGGACGGTGCATCGCATGCCCTTGGCAACGGGAGGAAGGCGCGACCGTAACCTGCTGAGGTAGACGAGCGAAGTCATGAGGGTGGCAGTCTGGACATGTGACCTCTCGACGATGGATGTGATGAACTCCTCTACTGATGGCAGGGCAGGCTCGCGGATGTTGGAGGCAGCGTGCTGAGGAGGCGACGCTGGTGGTGTAGGAGGGAGGTTCTTGTTAATGGAGGGTTCGCAGCGAATGACTTGTGTGGCCTTCTGTGCAAGGTACGAGATCATGTCATGTGACACCGGGAGCTGGATGAAGTGGTCCAGGGCAGCCGTGTTCTCGGCGACGAGGTTTGGTGAGTAAGGCATGATGTGGATGGAGTAGTAGTCCCGAAGGTGATGTGAAGTCTCAAGTGAATGTCGAACTGTATGTGGATGCCGTGTATGCCCTGGAGTGAGGCGTAGTCGGAATTCCGGTCTGAACGATGGTAAGCGGGAGTCCGAGGCTGCGTGGCTGACGACGAGGTTGAGTCGGCAGAATAGGCAAGGCAACAATTATTAAGGTGAAGGTGAAGCGTCCGAGTCCAGTCGGAAGGTGCAAAGCGATTGAAATTTTACGGGAGATGGCGCTGCCAGTCTGGGAAGTCGGAGGGAAAGTCGGTGGTGGAGCGCGAATCACTGCCGGAGTGTGGAGAATGGCACCTGCACCGCTAGGATGACAGGAGGAAAGAAGGGAGGATGGAGAAGTGAAGCCGGTGACTGACTGTGAGGAAGAAGTATCGACGGCAGAGGGCGTGATACTTATTTCGCAGGCCCCTTGAGCGGGTAGCGATGCGTTTCCAAGTCGAGGGTCGGATCCTTTGGGGTGGTGGTTCGGCGGCTGCGTGTGGGATCCAATGGATGGAGCTCACGCACAGGAAACAGCTACGTAGCGCGCCACGCCGGACTCAGGCCAGCGGCTGTTTGGCCCGTTTGGGGTGCCTGGAAGATTGCGAGTGGTGAGGTGCAGGACCCCAGGAATAGGCTGTTTCAAGTCCAAGCCAATGGTTTGCACGCAGCGCAGGGCCCTCTAGGCGTGCGAAATTGACAGCCAATAGAGCCGTGATGCGAATCGCGTTTCGAAGGCGGTCGAGTATGTTTTAGATGGATGCAGGTTGGAGTCGAGGTGTTGGAGTGGAGTGCGCGAAATATTGGGTTGGTACAGACACGACGTTTGCTGCACTGCAGGCCTCGAGTTTGCGGCAGCAGCGACCGCTATGTACTGCGACAATCACGGTGCTTGTGGAAGGCTGGCCGGAACTAGAGGGTCTGCTGGCCTCGCAGCTGGGTCACGTTGCCGGGTTGGGAGACAGATATTGAGGCGGTGAGTCGGGTTAGGTGGAGCCAGAACACTACGGTTGATGAATAGCATGCGACCACGCAGTAGCAGCACACCTGCTCCCATATATCTCCCGAGCAGAATGCCAGCAGACGGTGACGAATTTGTGGGCGGAATGCACTA